GTTTTTTGGGGTTTTTTTGTGTGGGGGGGGGGGGGGGGGGTTCTGAAGCATCTTAGAATTTAAAGCATCTGGTTTCCTCTGGGTTAGCATACTATGCACATAGTCTCATGAGTTACTTTGTTAAAAAAGAAAGTTTGGGGGACATTAATAATAAAACCCAGATCATTTCAAATTGGACCTAGCATCTGGTAGTTTAAACTGTTACAATATTAAAGGATTAAGTTCCTTCTGTATCCCTGTCCTAGAACATTTATATAAATAAGGAGTTCTGACTGAAGTCAGAGAATCAAGCAAGTGCCAGGCAATTAGTGCTTGAAGACGGAGCACAGTATTGGCAGTATTTTTTTAACCCTTTGACTGCCAAGGACATATCCTATACATCCTGGCATTCAAAGGGCTACTTAAAGTGACTTTAAACCCTGATTAAAAGCATAAACATAGCGATGTAGACCCAAGCACTTACCTTGTTTGCATGTCCATTTTCAGTTTAATACCATGCCGAATCCTGCTGTGAAAATGTTTCCCTCTCAAGTTCCTGTCTTCAGGTGACTCCATCCTCTTACGGGGACCCATGGAGCTATCTATGCATGCACACTCTCTCCTGAATCCATGAACAATTTTTTTTACGTTCACTGAAGCTGCGTCTCCCTCCAGCTGCTGATTGATAGTTGCTGGAGCCTGCACTTTCCCTGCTGTACTGTGCATGTGAAGGGCACAGGGAGAGATCTCCACTACCCGGACGTTCAGGAGACGCAGTGCTGTGGACCTGGGGCACGGCAGCAGAGTGTACTGGGTAATGTTGCTCGGCTTGACATTACCCAGTACTTAAAAAAAAAAAAGGCAGAGCATTTAAATCTGAAGTTTAATCTGACTATATTTTGCCGTCAACCGATTCCTCCCACATCAATACTAATTACGTTTTAAAACCTTTCAATTTTGATTACATAACTAGTTTTAGTATCAGTGATGTCATTACTGTGTATCTGTATCTGTACTTCTCTATGTGATGCATGCAGATCATTGCTAGTGGGAGGGGCTGGCAGGGTGCTGTTTATAGCTTTCTGAAAACATCACAGCACCCTGACACAGCACTCCTCTCAAGAGCCCTGAGTCCTGATGGAAGCAGTGAGCTGGTTTATGGGAGTTATGCAGATATCAAAATGCCTTGATGGGTGGCTATCCAGCGGGAGGAGTAAATGTTCCCTAGGCAGACTGCATTTGCATGAAGACCACGCTAGGTTAGCTGGGGGAGGAAACAACACTGCACAGAGCATCACAGGTTGCTAAGAGCTCTTTGCAACATGGGACGCTGTGGCTGCCCCCTTGCTGTCCCACTACCACCTGGTCACTCCCTAATGAGATGCCGCCTGAAGCAACTGCCTCAAGCTGCCTCATTTTAGGGATCTCACTGAGTGGGGCTACCCCCGCACTGCAAGGGTTAAGTGCTCATTTTTGTCTAAATTTAAAAATAACAAAACTACTCACCTGAAGTTTCGAGCTGGCCAGCTGTCACAGTGCTCCCTCCAGCCAATTCCCTTCTACGCTGCAGCATTGGAATGTTCTTCGGTGCCCTCACGTTTATAGTATATAGAACGTGATCATTTACGGAACCTTAGACAGCTGCAGTGGATGGACCCTCAAGTGAGTATATCTTCTGTATTTCGGCCCCGAGACCAAAACGAACAGTTAACCTTTGCAGTGTAGGGGTAGCCCCACTGCAAGGGTTAAAGTAAAATTAAAGTCTCTGCTAGCAAGCAGTAGATATATGCAAAAACATTTTAAAAAGTTACCAAAAAGGTAAAAACTTACCTCTGTCTCCAACGCTTGCTCCCGTCTGAAGATCTGCAGATTCTCGAGCAGTCATGAAGAATCATGGAGTAGGCGCATGCGCATGCGCAGTAGAGATCTTTGGCCGGGAGAGGAGCGACACAGTGTAAGTCAATGCACTCAGTGTTCATGCGCACCGACACCATGGGACAGGAAGATACAGCCGTCAGCGCTGGATCAGAGACCAGCACCAGCACTGGAGGGACTCCTGAATACAAGTGGAAGGAAGAAGATGATTAGATCAAGAGGCATCATTTAAGGTAAGTCCTTAAGCAACATTGGGGAGGGTGACCTTAATGTCACATTAATACTTTTTTTCTTGGAGTTCTTCTTTAAAGTTACTATACAGGAATATTGCTTTAACCTGATGGGACTTTTACACTGATGGCAGGGTCAGAGGCCGGCAAAACATTTTGAACCTTTTCAAACCGGTGCAGGGATAGCAGCTTTTTGTCCTAGCACCATTTTAAAAGGGCACCTAGCCTCAGAGGGCCCCCACGGGTCCCCCGGTACAAATGCTGTAACCACCAGCCGTCCATGATAGCCTGGACCCAGCACTACACCCTGGAGCTAAACGATCAATGTATGGGCTTCTGATGGTTAACTTTATTGTTATCAAAAGAGGGCTAAGAAGCCCCTTATGTGATAAATTACAGTGTCAGGTCCTCTTTATGGAGACATCAGGGATCTTTAAGACACCTAATGTCACATAGGGACCCCCAAAAAAGCTGAGGAAGCAGAGACCTGCTTCTTCAGCTTATCTCCAGCTTCTGTAACTGGAGAGTGACAGCTTAATGTGGAAGTGATGTAATTTACATCACTTCCGCATTCTGACATTGGAGAAGAGATCAGAGGTTGTTTACTGATCTACCTCCAATCTCCCTGTACAGAGCCGACGTGCTGGTCTGGGCTTGCACAGGGAGGCCAGAGATGGGGGGGCGCATGGAGGCACAACATACAAGCGATCGGGCGGCTCTACAGCTTCCGGACTGCTTGCTGGCTGTTTCACATTTTGATGGCTTTAACATGACCACTGTCAGAAGACTGGGAAAGAAAAGAGAAATTAATTATGCAAAGAATACAGAGCAAGTATCTATAAGTATCTGTTTGTAGATTGCCATTACTAAACATTTCCAAAGCTGTGTTTGTTGTTTGTTCTAGAGATATGGGTAAAGTTCCTCTTTACTATAGCGTCCAAAGGGCAATAAAGCCCTGCCAATTTAAAACACTTACCATTACCATTCTGCTGTAGAACATAAATGTGATATAATTTTAGTCAGCCGACTTTACCTATGTTTTGAGGTAAATATATGGGCATGTTGTGTTGGGAAAGATTACAGGAAAATGCTATGGCACTCAAGGGGAGAAAGAGCCATGGGGACTGAAGTGGTTAAATACCATGTACTTTTTTTAACTGAGGTGCAATTGAAGACCACCATGTCTTCGCAACTACCTTTTTGGCCACTGTGAACAGGCACGTCAGGAGGCAAATTGAGTGTTTGCGCAATTTATAGGTTTTAGATTCACAAGGCCTCCTTCTGGGTTTTTTGGGACACCCCTGTTTGATCGCCAGTGAAAATAACAGCAGTGACAGCGGGCAGCACCGTCTAGTTCCTCTGCCTATGGCAAAGTAAGGTGAGCGAAATCCCAACAATTGTACAAAAGCTTTTGGGATTTTGGCATAAAGCCCACTTGGGCACTACTTATCATGCACTATATACTTCTATTCCCCTATTTCTGCATGTGGTAGAATTTTTGCCAGGATTTTGGCATCTATGTGCAGCAAAGCTATAATGTGATAATTTGACCCTTGTGTGGTAGGTCTTGAATTGCTAGAATTGCATTGTATGTGGGGTCAATACAAATGTCTTCTAGTGAAAGAGCAGTGAAGCCATCTGGGCCTTGTTGGTGTTTTAATAGATTTGACTTCCAGCTGTACTTCTGAGAGAGAAATAAGGCCCTCTAGTAGCTGGAGGAGGTCGTCTGCGGTGTTGGGAAGGGGTAAGTTTGACAGAATTGCTTTGGCTGTGATTTGATCAAGGTTACTAGGAACATGGTAAAGATTAACAAGTTACATAGTTGTTTGTGGAACTTATTGTTTGTGGAACTTTTGGCGTATCAGATTGGTAGTTAACTCAGTCTTAGCTATTCTGAGGCATTTGGGTTTCTGGTGGGGGTTCTAGCTGTTGCAGCCTTTTAGCCAGAAGACTGTCCGATTTAGTGCTTTTGTGAAGATTCAGGGTCATAGTTATAGCTTCCAAGCATGCAGTCCACTCTCCAGTTTGTGTTTAAGGGCGTGCTGCTCACTTTTATTCAACAACATTTTGAAAGTTAGGTTTCACTCGAAATAGTTTTCTGAATGCCTATAAATTTGTGTATGACATTTTTGTAGTTGGTGAAAAATTGTTTAGTGGTTTTTCACTTCAAACAGTGGCACCTCTTAGTCCCAATCAAATGTAGATTTTAACCTGTTGCAGTACTGCTTATGAACAGTAAAGAATTCAAAGATTTAGACATCATTTCTACAACTTTTTATTCAGGTTCAGCTCAAGTTCTCTGATAAACAAGTCCATCCTGGAGGGAAGGTGAATCTGGAGGTTTCTGCAGAGGCAGGGTCACTGTGCAGCGTCCGATCTGTGGATAAAGGATACTTACTTCAATATCCAAGTGATGATACTTCTTTTGCAACTAAAGTTGTAAGTATAAATGTGTATTTGGCCTGCATGGACAGGATATGATCACTTTATGAATACCTGACATTTTATGTTGGCCCAACAGTTGGACCTGTTGCTACATGGGTGGCTAGCTTTCAGTTAAAAGCCCTGTTTAATGAGCGTAGAGAGAACCCCTAGAAACAACTATGGCACAGGATAACTTGTAGTCATGCGGTGCAAAAAAGTATTAGACAAGAAGAGTAATTGGAAAATAGATCTTTGCAAGGTTTATTTGATATGTATCTGACATCTACCCTCTGTTAAAAGCTGTAATGAATCTGATCATGCTATGATATATTTTTCGTATTGGAAGGCTCTATCTGTTAGTGCTGGGTAAGAGTCTTTGCATTATGTAAAAGGCAGCATCTTCAGAGAAGTTTCTCTAAAGTAAATTTCTTTCAAATTGTTTTAATAGAAATTTTGTCAAAATTTGTCAAAACAATCAATAAGAGGAAAGTAGTAACAGACGTTTTGGGTCCATACTTTTATGGACTCTTTATGAAAGGGGCTCTTGACTGTTGGAAACATGGCATACACATAGGTTGGGCCCATGTTACTTACATAATTAGGGAAGTAAAGAATAACTGGTTAACTCATTTTTAATGGTGGTAGTAGGGGGAGGCAGGAACAGGTTACCTACCTAATAGGTGCAAGAAAAGATTTCACTTAAAGAATATTTATCCATCTGACAGATGTGTTCCTGCTTTCTGACTATTTCCCACCCTCCCACTTTTATAATAGCTTTAATGGCAAGGTTTACTGTGCCAGTGATCAGTAGATCTATAACTGACCCTCAGCGGCTCCAGGTAATCAGATATCTGTTCTGAACTGATGGTTAAGGCAAGCATTTAGGCCATATTACAGAACTGTGGATGCCTGTTACTAAGTTGTTAGCTGTAAGTTGGTTTGCCATTATCAATGGACTATATGCATTAAATATGATTTAAAATCATCAACCATAACCATTTAGAACTTTTGTTTGGGTCGGTAATGTATTTGTTGGGACAGATATAGTTGATAGAGCCTATGCTTCTCAACACTCATCTACAGCTACAACTGGATACAAAACAAGCATTCTCCATTGCTGGAAACTATCAATAACTTCTTTAGTGTCCTCAGCTTCCTGCTGGCCACTAAAAATGCCCATCACTCACAGGATTTAAGCTTTTCATGTGGGAGTTGCTGTAATGCATCAGGATACCCAATACAGAAGATTGCCAGTTGCAAAGGACTATTTCTAAGAAGACACCTAAAGTAATTTATCTGAAAACACCATTCTCTTTTCTTTCCTTTTACCTGCATTGTTTTCTGGATCCATTCAGGAATTTACTAACTCAGTTTACTTTTTTACTAGAATTGCAAGTAATTTTGTATGTATATAAATATGACTTGATATGTGTTACTTCAGCAACAGAGTATATCAAGATCCTTTGGATATGCAAGAGAATATCGGGAAGAAGAAAGACACCAATGCCCAGAAAATCAGACAGTGGTCCGTAGTTGGCATCCTACGTTTGATACATTATTCTTGTTTGAGGTATGTTTACATACAATTTTCTCACTTGATTTATAGCAACAGTTCAACTAAAAATGTATAGCATGTGTGTGTTTATTTTATGCATATAAATTCCAGGCAAAATATTTTAAAGTTAAATGGTGCCAACCACAATCTGTTAGTTTTCAGAATAATCCCTGTGAAGTCCATCTGGATCCTAGGCCCAGGCTATTTGCAGGTGCATATCCTTTACTGCATTAAGAAGAACATCAGGCATATTCTTGCTGGGCATAATCGTGCTGGGTAACAACTAGTTAAGTCCAATAATGTGTGTGGTGCCTCGAGGATCGCTGCCATGTCTGTATTATTTAGTTTTACTGATGCCAGATAGTATAGCTAATCCTATACTTCCACCACTGCAATAGGAGAGCTGCGGCTCTCATACACAGGAATTTACCCCTTGTCTTCCCCTATCCAGACACAAAATGCTTTAAATACTTAATAAAATATGAGTTCTGTGAATGGGAAAGGGGTGAGGGGGCGTGAACAAGTGACACTGTGACTTCAGCCTAAGAGAGCCACAGCTTTCCTGTGGCAGCACCAGAAGTATAGTAAAAGCTATACTATCCCGCATCAGCAGGTGACATACACCTCATGGGGCCTGACTAGTTGCTACTCAAAACTATAAGAAACGCTTTTCTTCTTTAAGACCAGGTCAGGTAGTTATTCATGAAAATTAATAATATGCCTTTGACTACCCAGACAAGCGGTCTCATTTTAATCACCAACACTCATGTCAGGAAGCCAACAGAATGTGTCCAAGATGGGGTCAGCGCTCGTTCTTCAACACTAAAGAAAAAAGGTGAGAGCAAAGATACTTCCATGTCTTTTACTTCAAGTTAGCTTTTTAAATGTTGGATAAAACATAAACAATGTACATTATTTGGTTACTTTCTACCAATTTGTTGGATGTCTTCTCTGAAATTCTCCTGCATTTGGCACTGACCATACTTAAAATTCCCCTTATTGACAGATATTCTGACCTAATATATTTTCTATAGCCTCTAATCTGTTGTTTACTGCTCCACAGTGTAAAAAAAGACACCATTCATTTAGTTTACTAATAGCTGAACTCCAGGCAAAGAGCTGATACACAGTTGAAATACATACACTGTATATTACCAGGCAAAGGAAAACCATAGTCCATCCATTGTTGAGCTTTACAAAGCATTTCAGCAGAGCCAGACTGGTTACCTGATTCTTCTCTCCTGTAATTCAACAATACTGATTGGCCACCTCCCTGCCCCCAGCATTGCATGCGCTGAATAAACCCTGAAGCGACAATGATTGTGCCGCTCCCTGGCCGCTGTGAAGCTGATGTAGCATGTCTTGCTTGATGAGCTTCATTGGAGTGATAAGGTGACATTAGGGGTCGAATAGACTGTCTCCTTAAAGAGAACCTTAATAATAGAAGTCACCAGCACTCGATGATGTGTGCAAGAAGTAAAGCACTTTTTATTAAATTGTCACATGCATCATACAGCCAACGTTTCGGGGCCACGCAGGGTCCCTTCTCGGCGAGATATTGACCCTGCGTGGCCCTGAAATGTTGGCTGTATGATGCATGTGACAATTTAATAAAAAGTGCTTTACTTCTTGCACACATCATCGAGTGCTGGTAACTTCTATTATGGACTGTATCTGACACGGCGCTATCCATGTTGTCACTTCAAGCACCAACCCTCCATCAAGGTCTGTACGCTGTATGGAGTGCAGGTGATTACATCTTAAAGCTTGTTAGCCCCCTAAGTGATAGGAATACAGTTAAGTGTTATAAAAAAAAACAAGTTTAAAAAGCTGCACATTGAAGAGTGAGTACAGTAATTATAATCTACATCTACTTTAAGTGCTGATAAAAGAATCACAACCCTTAAGGTTCCGTGCTTGTTCACATCAACACTAACTATCACAAGGATTCTGGGGGATTCGTTTGTGATAAGAGAAAATAAGAAAGCACACAACACAGTTTAATTTGTATTTATTTCAATCTTCTTTTTATTTTTGATGTATGAAGGTATATTTGTTGTGTGATGGTGGGTACAGATCCACATCTATATCAGGTTGCTTGACCCACGGAATAACGCGGTTCACAGTGTATTGTTAATGAATTGGGTATTGTCCACAGTGTATCATTTAATTAAGCACATTAACTTAATTTGTTCACTATCTCTGTTGGCGCTGCATAATCGAAAAGCTATATGATTTGACCTATGTTGTCTTTATTGCTGCAGCCTTACATATTTAATGATTTAGTATAGTCTAGGTTAGAGCACCTTTGTTTCACTTATCCAGCGCAGAATCATCAAACACATACAGATTCTTTTCATATCATAGCAGCTTTTTGTACTGTATTAGTAATGCTTTGATTTCATTTTGTACCCTTAAGCCAAAGAAGAGATCAGACAGCGCTTTGCAAGGAGCTCCTTCCCAGACACCTGGCTGTATGATTTAGTTTTGGTGGGGTAAGTACAGTATGGCTCATTAAGGATGAGCAAAATTATTTTTGCTAAATGTCACCCAAGTGAAAATTTTCAATCTCGCTCAATGATCTGCTTAGGTGAAATTTGCTTGAAAAATGTTTACATTTTACATGTCTTTATTTAGATGGTGTATTTTTGGGAGAGGGTTTTTTCATGGTAGCTTTTCTTAGTTTGTTTTGGGTTTTTTTTCGTATTGGATATTTATTTGTGTATAATTTCTTTAAATGTTTTATTTTGCTCTTTCTTTTAATGTTTTGTTTTCTTCCTATGAGAAAAAAAATCCTATAATAATGAGATTTATAATGGGGTCAATTTTTGGCACAAGAACAGGTCCAGGTTAGTTGAAGGAGCTGCTTGAACCATCAGGAGCCATTTCACCCTTCTGTTGCTGCCGACATAAAGACTAAATGTTTTATATTTGTGCAAAAAATGAAAAAAATGGCTCTAGCGGCATAAGGATTGCATCGGCAGGAGCACCGACATGTAAACAGATGCAGCCAGGTGTTTACTTTCAGAGTGAGCTGTCAGCTTTTTTGTGGAAGTGATACAGCTCAGATCACTTCTGTATGTACAGCCCAAGACCATCACAACAGGTGTCAAGATGGAGAGAAGCGGGCATTGAGCAAACATATATTCGCTGTTCTTCCTTGTGAAGAACAAACTTGGAAGTACTCAGCTCTGATCACTTTCCGGATCATAGCTGGCAGAGGAAAGAAGCTAATTGAGCACACTCTGTGCTCGTTTGGCTTCAACAGAGTGCAGGGGTGACAGTAAGGGTCTCCTGAACCACTGATGTCTCCTTAAAGGGAAACTGTCACCGGCACTATGCTATCAAATTAGGAGCTTATCAGCCCCCTTGTAATAGCAATGAAGTTAAGTGAAACAAAATAAATAAATAGATGTACATGTACATAGAAATGCAAATGCGAGTTGGCTGTGCACATGTACAAAAACAAGGAGTACGGTATATTCTGTATATTATTGCTTGGTATGTTTAGTATTTCTCTGCCTTGTAGTTCTAAGTTCCCCAGTATGAATCCAGATTTAGCCAGGACACTTTCTGTTCTCCTTGGGCTTGCATGCCTTTCCTTCAGGTACTTTAGTTTTCTTCCACATTCCAAAAGACATGCTGGTAGGTTAATTGGCTCCTGTGTAAACTGGTCCCTGTATGTGTGCATATGAGATAGGGACATTAAATTGTAAGCTCCTTAAGGGGAGGGACTGATGTGAATAAATACTGTTTAAAGTGCTAAATACACTGAGTGGCCAGATTATTATGACCACCTGACGTTTGTAGGCAAAATTAGCTATAATTTCGCGCTGAAGTTGCTAGAGGGCCAGACCATTATAAATAGGGAAGCAGGTTGTTTACCACGACAGTAGAAGTGATTTTTTCTGAAGATATGGGTAAACAACGCGATTTAACAGCCTTTGAATGTGGGATGATTGTTGGCACTCGGAGCCAAGGAGCAAGTATCAGCAAAACAGCAGAATTCGTTATATGTTCAAGAGCAGCTGTTGTTAAAGTGTTTAAACTCTTATTGACTCCCATGTATTTCAGAAAAATTATAACATTTTGTCGATCTCCCCATTTTTACCAAAATATTGAGTGAAATAACTCCATTTTGCTCATCCCTATTGATCAGTTTTCGCTATACAGCATTGACATTTTTTGAGTTCTTCCAGTATTAGTTTTTAATTATATATATATATATA